CGAGCGGGACCCGCGATGCCTCTGGGGATGAATAAGCATGGATCTCGCTCTACTACCTCTTTGCCTCCGGACCCCACCGAGATCGTCAGGAGCAAGGCCTGCTCCCGGAGGGTCAAGCTCAACGTGGGGGGGCTGGCCCACGAGGTTCTCTGGCGCACCTTGGACAGGCTGCCGCGGACCAGGCTGGGTAAGCTCAGAGACTGCAACACGCACGACTCCCTCATGGAGATCTGCGACGACTACAACCTGGAGGAGAACGAGTACTTCTTCGACAGGCACCCCGGGGCGTTCACCTCGATCTTGAACTTCTATCGCACCGGCAAGCTGCACATGATGGAGGAGATGTGCGCCTTGTCCTTCAGCCAGGAGCTGGACTACTGGGGGGTGGACGAGATCTACCTGGAGTCCTGCTGCCAGGCCCGCTACCACCAGAAGAAAGAGCAGATGAACGAGGAGCTGAAGAGAGAAGCGGAGACGCTGAGGGAAAGGGAAGGAGAGGAATTCGATAACACTTGCTGTGCTGAGAAAAGGAAAAAGCTCTGGGACCTCCTGGAGAAGCCCAACTCCTCGGTAGCGGCCAAGGTAAGCGTTCCACATCTCTGCTGGCTCCTGACTGGTGATGCTCCCTGAGGAGCTGCCCTTGCTTTGGTGCCTGGGCACTTGTGGCTGGGTGGATGCTGTGAGTGAAGGAGAGGAAGGCCTCTCATATACAAATGAATTTCAATGTTTTTTGGGTGTTTTTTTGGTAGTTTGGAAGGCATGTGGTTTGAGCGTCCCTGGGGCAACCTGGGCTGCTCAGTGTGGGAGAAGCTTCTCTGAGCAGTGGGTCAGTGTGCAAAGACTGCTGTGGCTGGACGTTTTAGACTTGTTACCCGCTGGCCTGGGTTGGTGCAGTTTGTAACAGACATTTCTTTGGGCCTAAAACGCGTGAGTCTTCTGCTGCTTATCAAATTGGCTTTCAAGAAGCCACTTCTGCTTGAACTCCTAGACCCAGGTGGAGTGAGGAAATAATGCCTCCCATTCCAGGGCTTAATTGAGTTTTGTTTTTGTAGTGAAATGTGTCTCCTAGTTATTTGTATCACGCACTCCTAGGCTGTGTGTCTGCTAAAGCTGGTGTTTGGTTTTCATCCTTTACCCGATTCCAGCCTTTTTAAACTCTTCCCTGTGCAAGTGATGCAGCATTGTCAATAGCTGAAGTGCTGCTTACTCTGAAGTTGGTTTCAGTGGACAGATCTACTTGAAGGCATTTTGAAGATAAGATCCATGTTGGGAGAAACCAATGTCAGAGTTGGCTCTGATAATTTAGCTGCCTCATGTTAGTCACATTTTCTTTAGTGAGGAAAATCTCTGCGAACACAGTGATTCAGTAACCATGGGGACAAAAGTGAAGGGGGAGAGGTTGACAACTGTGGGATGAATAACTGAAAAGCATGAGAGACTGAGCAGTAGGGACCAAAACTTGAATTTTCTGTATACCCATGTCCTCACTGTATGGCAGAGAAGTCACAAGAAGCCCTGGCTGCCTCTGTAATGCCTCTGTACAAACATCTGCAAACACAGACCATGGCTCCATCCCTTATGGGTCTGGCTTGGATGGTCTACTTGTGAAAACAGACTTCTTTTTCTCTTTTTTTTCTCTTCTCAAAATGCTGCATGTTGTGAACCAAGAACATGTATAAAACTTTGGGGAAGGGATTTTGTGAGACATGGACTGGCTCAGCCTGGCATGGGGAGGGGAGGCATGGTCTGCCTGCTGAACCCATTATCACTTTTTTAATGTCGAACAGAGCCCCAGAGTGCTTCTATCTCTCCAGTGGCACAGATGACACCGTGATGAACACATTAATAATTTATAAGGCTCCTTTGGCACAGTCCTGGAATCCTGAAACACAGGCCCCAGGCTTTGCTGTCTGTGGCACTGACTCAAAATCCATTAGAGACTGTTGATGTTCATGATTTATTGTATATGAGCAAGGGTCATTCTTGCCAAATAAGTGTCTTTTGTGATTTATAAATGAAATACTCTAGCTTCATTTTCTGAGAAAATTCTCGGAGTAAGTGCACCCGGCATTGCAGGCTCTGGATTAATTGAGAGGGAATGGAAATGCATCATTACCCTTAGCATTTAAAGCTGCCATTCTGTGCCTTCATTACTGCAATGGAAGTGATGCTGTGTGTTCTCAGAGCTCAGATACTGCAGCAGTTCCCAAGCACAGGTTCCCACTCACCTCGTGTGTTAGCAGGGCAAGCAGGCCTGGAGAACAATTAGCTTAGCCGGCAGGGACAGCAGCTCTGCTAAGCCTGCTCTTGATCCGATTTGCTCCCTGCTGCTGGGCTGCTTTCCCTCCTGCCAGAGGATGCCCTTAGCTCTGATCACCTGCCCGAGTTCAATGCACGTATTGAACAGGTTGGACTCACCCTGCAGCCTGTGGTGGAAGGGCATGGGGAAGGCATTGGCAGCCTGGCCCGTCCCTGCCCTGTGCAGCTGTGCCAGCTGCTGGCAGGGAGTGTGGGCTCAGGCTGAGCCCTGCTGGAGCTCCTGCTCCTTCCCCAGCCGCCTGCCCAGTGCAGGGGGCACAGGAGCTCCTGTCGCCTCCCCTGCAGCCAGACTCGCTGTGCCTTGCCAGCTCTGGGAGCTCACACTGTTCCTGTGGAAAGGAACAAAGTAAACTCTTGTGAGGTTTAATGTCACGCAAGGTCCTAAAACTGCTCTTGGGGAAATCTGAACTACTCTTGTTTGTTTTTTCTCTTCAGACTTGTTCCACTCAGTGCAAAGGCTTTTCCATGCAACAGATACCAGATACCTTCATGTTCTGTTTAAGAAGTCCAGGAAACGGGTACAGGTGCAGGTTCTCCCCCGAACCAAACCAGCGTCTTTGGCTGCATTTTAACATTTTCTGCACAGCACTGCGCCTCACCCCTCCATACCAGCTTACTCCTGGCTTATACTGGGACCAGTTAAACAGACAGACTTCTTTATTTGCTTGGTTTTCAGGGATTTGGGGTTGCCTTTTTTTAATTCTTGGATGCTTTTTGTTGGCTTTGTTTTTATGGTTTTTATTTTTATTTATTTAAATGGGACAATACGTGGCATACCCCAGCTTGTAAAATAGCATTCAAATAAGAGAAGAAGAATCCCCCAGACCTGAGTTTTTGTTGCGTTCTTATCCCCTGGAGAGTTCTAATTTCTCTGTCTGGTTTTTAAACCAACCATTGTGGCAAGCAGGGTCTAATTTATGTGTGAGGCTTTGCCCTGTCTGTGAGTGGAGAGAGCCCTCCTGGATTTCAGTGCTGCTGTCCCTGGGCTGTCCCCCCATGCGCTGCTGTCCCTGGCACAGCCTGGCCCCTCTGTCCCTCTGGGTGATCCCAGAGCCCAGCACGGCTCCAGCTGGCCAGGGCAGCCCCCCGTGCCCAAAGGGGTTCCAGTTCAGCCCCCTGCCCTGGGCTGGGATGCTCTGTGCTCCCTGCACTCACCTGCCCAGAGGGAAACCCCCGGGCACACAATGCAGCACTCTGGGGACTTGGCCTCTGTCAAATGGAAAAAGTATCAGGCAGTTATGAAATAAAACTGTGCTCCTCTCCTTCTAACCTTAGCATATATTTTAAGGGATCTGATTCTCCCATTTCCTGTGGTTATTTGCCTGCATATCCCTGACAAACATTCACTGCAGGCTTTGTGGATGCTTTCTCCTCTTCCTGCAATCACTGTTTTTGCATGTTCATGCTTATTTTTATCATTCTCCCAGTCTCTCTTAATAGTTTGGTGGTTGATTCTTGGTTTTGTTTTTTAAATAGTATTCTTCATGTGCTTTGGTGTACTCACAACATCCATTTTTAACCACAGAGGACTCTGGTGCTCGTTTCTGTCATGGTTTACTCTAGAAGCTGACGAGGTGCAGATATTTTCTGGAGTAGCTCTCACACTTTGTTGCATGGCAGCTTTCCTTTGTCAGGAAGGCAAAGCAGCTCTCCAGAAGCCAGGCAGAGCTGCTGCTTTTCCTCGGGCACGGTGCCCATGCCAGCCAGGGCAGTAGTGGTTACACAGCTCCAGCGCTCTGGTTTGGGTTTTGATCCTGATTGCTCCTTCCCTTGCCAGGGCTCAGCTTGGGCAGCTGGCTCCTGCCACCCTCAGCCCAGCCACCATCCTGCCTTGCCAAAGTCCCCTCTGAAGCTGCTGCTTTCCCCTGACCAAGGCCAGTTAGGATCCATGGGTCACTCAATGCCTGTTCCCTGGGACAGCCAGCCTAGCTGTAATTCCAACTAGGCTTCATGTCTGTGCTATCCTGAAAAATAAAAGACTGCAGTTGTTGGGGCTCTCCAGTATAAACAAATAACAAATTAGACCAGCTCAACGTCTTAGGCTAGCATCTATGGTTCTGGAAATTCTCCGATCGCCTGGACCTTTCCAGCAGCTCTGCAGGAGCATTGCCCTTTTTGCCTCTTAAGAGGAAAGTATTTCTTTTCCTCCTTTAGTCCTTACAAATGATTTACCCGATCAATATTTAAGCAATTAGTGTTGCATGGGGTGTGGGGGGGGAAGTCTGCTCGTCTTACAGACTCCTCTGCATGTGCTGGTTTCATCTATTTTTCTCTTGCTGTCCTGAAGGCTGAGAAAAACACGATGACATCACCCACTTTGCAAAAAGCTTCTCTGCATATCTGCATGTCAAGTAGGATGTGCACTTCCTTTCCTCCTCGCTGCCTCCACTTCCCACTTGTCCCTGTCCTGTTGGGAGCTCAGCTGCAGTGATCCCTCCCTTCTGACAGGCTATTTCTCATCTTTTCCCCTGCTCCTGCTATGCCTTTGCCAGTGCAATAATATCGCATTTATCCTTGAAAACATGCAACTCCAATTCGGTAATCTCATTATGCATGCCTCTACATTCCTTGAACAGCTTTTCTCTGCTGCCCACTGCTCTCTGCTGCTAATCTCTGGATGCATTGCTTAGGGACTGGGGAGGATGCTCTGTAAGCTCTTTTCTTATTATTGTTGATAGTAGTGACAAAATAAGAATGATAAAAGCCTCTTGGAGATGCGTTTGCTACATCTAGAGCATTCTTCCCCCACATGGGCTTTCTATTCCTGGCCCTCCCTTATGGTGTGCAGTTTTCATTCATCTCCAAACCTGCCTGAATTTAGCATTTGGCAGAGGAAACCCCTCTCCTGAATGGCAGGGGTCACATCTTGGCTGTGTCCTGTCTGTCTCCGAGGGTCCCAGCTCAGGGCACATGCTGACTTGGACTCTTAAAGGCAGATTGCCCATATTTTGCCTCCATCTGTAACTTTTTTTAGTGTGATGCAGCTACTGCCTTGGCTTTTTTGCTATATATAGGAGACTTTTTCCCTTCATCCAAAATGAACTCATATCTTCAGAGATCCTCAAGAGCAGAGCCTCATTGCAAAGCCTGTCCCCTGGGTTCAGGGATTTGTCACTTTGGTCTGGAGCTTATCTCTGGGCTTCTAGCACAGCCCTGTCCTGTGGACACAAGTGATTTCTGTTCTGGATCAATCTCTTTTCATCCTGCAGCTGCTTTCTGGGTCTTGTCCTTCCAGTGGACTTAAATCTTTTGTCTGGGGAGCC